CCGGAATTATAATTTATTAGGAAGTTAGAACATTAAAAATAAATAAATTTTACATATTAAAAATGATATAAAAAATCCCACGAAACAATAGATGATATGACTATTTTATTTATCAAAAGAGTAATGAAAATAGAAAAAATAAAATAAATAAATTTTGACCATGTAAATAGTTAACAAGCAAATTAATTTGGGACGAAAAAAATATTTTTTTTCATTCTCTTCAGATGCATTTTTTTCATTTTACTTTTTCTACTTACTCAATATTACTTATTCTTAGAGCAGTGGAAATACCACTGACGCCCACCGGCGTTAAGCTGGTTTTGACGCATGGGGGCATTAAACACCGCCCCCCTTCCTCGTTATTGCACCGCCCTTTTTGCAACGTCAAACTTTTGATGCAAATTGTCGGCCAAAATTCGGCCGTTGGAGCCCCCCCACCGCCCCCTTTCCCCAACGTCAAACTTTTGAATGTATATGTTGTTCATGACTATAATTTTTTTAATGAATAAAATTAAATTATTAAATTTTATTAAGTTAATTTTAAAAGATGTAAAAAATGAAGGTTTGAAGTCCCAATTTGAAGCCTCGGGTCTTCAAACCCATTTCCAGTGAATTGGTGGGGTAAGTTAAAGCCGACGTGACAGAGAGAAAGTTTGAAACCCCAGGACTTCAAAACCATTTCCAATGCTCTTAAGGTCAAGTAGCACCAGTACTCTCTGTGGTTTGGAAAATAGGCTCCAATAGTCCCTGTTTTCAAAACTTATTCTTAAAGTACTCGTGGTTTCGAAACGTTGCATCCATGAACAACCTCTGATCATTTTCCAACCATTTTTTGACATAAAGAGGACATTAATTAGTACCTACTATTTTCTAAATCATATGGAACATTCGCGCTCATTTTTTATATTTCGTTTATTATGTAGGTTTTTTCCTTTTTTGACTCTTTATTATCTCTTTGTTTCTTTTTCCTAGAGAAGTTTATTATATATATTTTTTTAGATTTTTATAATGTCTTAGAAAATTCAAAATTTTTTGTGTTTGAAATGAAAATAAAAATAACAAACTAACATGTACTCCATTTATTTCAAATTACTATTTTCGCTTTTTGTTTTCTACAATAATTTTTTGGTAAGTTCAAAATGAAAAACCAAAAAAGAATAACGATATTGTTTTGGACTGACACTCAACAAATTCATTAAAAAATCCTCTTTTTATTTTTAAAATTAATAAGAAAAATCTTTTTGGAACATCTAAAGATTGTTATTTTTGGACGTCCTAAAAAAACCTTATCATCTCACTACATGTCTCCCTTTTTCATCTTTTGTATAAACATATTTTTTCCATGTCTTTTTCTATTCTATTTGTATATTATTTCATTTTCTTTTCCTACTCATTGTTTTACTTTTGTAATGCCCAAAAAAAATATTTTTATTTTAGAAAACAAGAAGTTAATATAATTTAGTCTTTATATATAGTCCAAGTATATGTAATTTTTTC